CTTTAGTCATTATCTAATTAAGGGTTCCGCCCATAGGTTACCCACTAGATGCCATACCTGAGACCCGCCTGTGAGTCTCCTATTTAAACTTTCTAATTTTCAACACTTATTGCATATATCTGAAATACGGTACATATTATTATTATTTGGATTGTAATATTTAATAGGCTCTGATTATACAAATTGAAATACTATTCTCAAAGTCATATATGCTATTTTACGAGTTGTTTTATAGATATTTCTATATATAAAAGTTTGCTCAAAAAAGTTTATATTATCTATAACTAAAAGGTTTCATATATTAGTGCTGCATAATTATCTTTTTTCTGGTTTTGTTTTATATAAATGAGCTTTTTTTAAAAGCCTCTCATGTTGTTGAGTATGTGAAATTATATTCGCTATACATAGAGTATTATATAAATAGTGAAGCAATTTTGGCTTTTTACAAAATGAATTTATAGTATGTGTTAGCTATATATTTGTTTCTAGGAATGCTATATTTAAAATCATTGATATAAGAAATATAACTATTTTAGTTACACAGCCTATATCAAAAACTTTTAATTAAAGTTCTCTTTGTTTTTTTTTCTTTATCACTATTGCATTTTTTTTTTTTTTTGCAATATATCTATAAATCTATTAAAAAGATTTAATAAAAATTAGAGAAATCTTTTTTGATAATATGTTAATGATACTGTGCTTTCAAGTTTTGATTTATTTTTTTGTACATCACTTTATGTACTTCATGTTGCAGTATTTAGAGCTTTTTCTAAACCTGTAGTGGTTTCATTAGTAATGATATATTTTTGTTCAATGATCTTTGCCAAATTAATATGCTTTAATCTTAAAGCAGTTTTAACAAAAAAAGAGCTAGAAGGGTTTACAGATTTTGTAGAAGTTTTTGTATTAAAAAATATTTCTAAAACAGGAACCAAACTTACTAAAAAACTTTTTTTTATTTTTATCTATATATAATATTTAGTAATCTAAAAGTTTAAGTACTTTGCTTGTATTATTCTTATGCATATTTATATATTTGAAACTTGACTTGGTTTCACAGCCTACTCTTTTATAAAAATGCCTATCATAAGTAATAAACTTCATACTGAGGTCTATATTCTGCTTGTAGATTATTATCAAGTATTTTTGATCTTTCTTCTTGTCCAAATATAGAGCAGACTATAAGCCCAATGCATGATATTTGTATGTTTTTCTAAAAACATGTTTTGAATATTGTACACATGTTTTACCTCTACTAAAAAAATACTTAGATTTGTTACAAAATAAGCAACATCAACAGAAAGACCCAACTCTTTTCAATAGATCATTTTTGTTTAGTATTTGGGCAGTGTAATTGGTTTTAATCAAAATTAAAATGAGATTAACAAATACCTATTATTGGAAGTTTGTTCTTACTTTGTGTCTGACAAAAAATTGTTTTATTAATTTTCCAAGAACCAACAAGCTAGACAAGATATCTTTGTTTTGGTAAGTAAGATAAGCAATATTGAATATAGCTATCATTAATATCTATTATTTGACACAGTATTAATATTGTATTACCTTTTTTTGATTCTAAGCTTTCAATTAAATAATCACTTTCATTTGAACCAAATATAGATAACACTGAATCAAACTCTGACAATGTTAAAACATCATTGCTATCATTATTATCATTATCTATATTATTTAAAAGAATTAAATCATCAGTTTCTTTTGCTTTTGCAAAATTCATGCTCTTTCAAAGCTGTCTTCATCAAATCAAAAGTTACTAATCTCTATATCAAAATTTAATATATTATTAGTAGTATTTTCTGTTTCAATTCTATTTAATATAAGGCTTTCACTTGCTAGCCCCATGCTTTCAATGTTTTTAATATCATTCTCTAGTATATATTCGAAGTTATTAATTAAGTTATTAAAAAAAATTATTATTCACTGAATCATTTTTTTTCTTCCAAATCCATGCTTATATTTTTCACAAAATAGCATAGAAGTAAGTATAATAAAATACAATAATTAAAAAAAATTTTTAGCAAAAATTTAAAACAAACATACTGTATAAGTATTAATAAGTTTGTGTAACTTTAGTTGAAGATTCTTTAAAAACTAGAAGCATTACTATATTTAAAAGAGAATAACTAAAAAGAAAGTAAGTAAAGCATTGTTTATTTTAGTAAGATAGAATAACATACTTTGCATTATAAGGATGTTTAAATAAGACAGTTTTCTTAAAAATGATTTTTTCATCAAACAAATATAAATGATGTTGAATGATTGTCAATCCCCTAATTAATACACTTGCACAAGGATTTAGAGGACATATTTGTTGACCAATATGGGGTTGAGTCAATAGAAACCAAGCAAATATTTTTTAATAAGTTTTTTTAAAATTTTAAACAAGAATAAACAAAAACTTGATCAAATTCAATAAAATTTTTTTAAATTAATTCTACAAGTTGTAAGAATAATTTTAAAAAAATTTTTATTATAAAAAATTTGCTTGATCTCTATTGACTCACCCTCATATATTTGCAAATAGTAAAATCAGAAATAAGTAGATACATTTCTTGTAATTATATTATAAACGAAAGTTTATAAAGTGAATATTTTTTTTTTAAAGTTATCTCTATGAAAATCGGTGAATCAGCATTTTAGCCCTAAATTTAAATTTTAGTCTCAGCACCATGTTTTAAAAATTTTTTTTTTCATCCCTAATTACGGTACGATTCCACGATAGTTAATTCTCCGCAACTTATTCACTTACAGCACATTTCTTGACAAGATACATCTCCGACATTACACTTTTTCAACGCACCCACGAACCTAGCATAACCACCATGCTCAGTTACGTACAGAGTTAGAATTAATTACCGAAATTTTAATGACGCATGTACATAGTTAATAATGAGTTAATAATGACAATATTTTTTTATTATATTGTAACTAAATAACAAGTGTCGTTTAAAAATTTTCTTACCAAATTTTTCATTAATGAAATCCGACTATTCAACCCAATCGAATTTAAAAAAATGGTCGCTTGCCGAATAATAAAAATAAAT